TTTCTTCGATTATTTAAGTTTTAAATTTTTAATTAATCCAGATGGTGTTGCTTTTATATTAAATTTTTATTTATGAATATATACAGATACCAATGGCTTATCATTTTTCTACTGTATTTGATTACAGTGATAAAACAACTTCAATCAGTTTATAAACCATAGAACCAAAATGGTGTGTTTTGCTTAGCTGATTTATGTTTTCCTAAAGGCAGAATTCACAATGACAACAGTGACAGTGACCACAGAAATTCCCCCCAGGGGTAAGATAGAAGATAATTCTGCCTTATATGATTCTACATCGGCTCGCATTATTGAAGAAACCGAATATGTGAAAAAGGTACGTGGGCGCCGGAAATCATTAGCAGGAGATGATTTTTTAAAGATAAATCCTGGTATGGATTGGTGAGCTCTGTTTCCCTCTTCATAGAACATATAAAAAGGAACAAACTTAATTTGGCCAAGGACAGTGCTGGTAGCTGAAATGTAAACACATACGTAGTGATTTCTCTGGAGGATATGAAACGGTTCCTATACTTGGAGTAAAATGATTTTCTTCACTCAGTAAAATTGAATAATAGGCCAGGAGGGTTCTGAACACCTATCAGCATTTAATTTGTCCCACACTATTCACCACTGGATTTCCTACTGTTTTATGATGTTTCCCAGTTGTTTCATGAGTGTTGATGGCGTTCCCAAGTAGATGTTTATGTTTCCTGCTGGGTTTGTGTGTCTCCCTGCCATGCTCCTTTCACAGTTCAGGGTAGCAATTGCCAGTGACTACATGTTGGCATATTACTTCATTAAACACATGAGGTCTTATGAGAATCCAATATGATAATGGCTGACAAAAGTATTAATATATACTCTTATTAACTGTTTCTTAGAATGGATAGATAAACTCTGGCATAGTTCATAGCTTGTTCACATCAATTAATTAAATCAATCTTTGAGTGTCTTACAATTCCAGAGGCCATCAAGCCATGGCGCTTATATTTCATGAATAAATTTGTATGATGTCTTAGTCATTATTCTGTAGTAATTGCTTAATAGTAATTATTTTGTAGTAATTACTAGATAGTAATTATTTCGTAGTAATTACTAGATAGTGATTATTTTGTAGTGATTACTAGATAGTAATTGTTTTATAGTAATTACTAAACAGTAAATTAGTACTAAATTACTAGATAGACAAAATAGAACTAAATAGTATTAAGTACTAATTACTAAATAATAACTATTTCGTAGGATAATATTCACTTAGGTTATTATATTTTAGGTTTGTCTGAGAAAGTTATAAAGACAAAATGCTTATCTTTGGCAATCTAGACAATATAAGCCTAAGTGCTAAAACCAGCAGTTTGACAGCAGTTATTAAAATCTGAAATCAATATATATGTACTTTATAGATATATCAGGTACCCTATAGCTGACATTGAGAAAAAAGCATTTGGCATTAAATGCCTTTGATAAAAATAATTTTTTTTCTCTTCTAGATTCGAACTACTCTGGAAAAGATCCGAAATCAAATGTTTAAAGATGAAGTAGGCCATAACAGTATAAATCACAAACTAGATGTAAAGGTAATAAATTTATCAAAATTTACCACTTTGATTCCTTTAGAAAATTAACATAAAGCCATATAGATTTTATTTAAGTAACTTTTTGGTTAATTATTAAATCCTTTGATGCTTTGAATGATGAATGGTAAAATATTTCATGAGTATCTAAAGATGTTAATGGCCATGTATGTGAAATGTTTAACAACAAATGTCATCAGTAGGATCAAATCAAAATGACCAGACCTTACTTGAATATATTAAATGAGGCCAACTTATCTAACGTATATAGGATGATGTCAGCCCAGCCAAGATACATGACAGTAACATTTCCCAATGACAGACAAAGATATAAGCTTTTAGGCTCACCTGGACACACATTTGAAGCTTTCAGACCTGAGCTGAGTGAGGATCTTGTCAGATAGTCAATAAACTTAAATGTACTCCCTTCCCCAAGACCAGCCTTATAGACCTAAAGTCAAGCAATCCGCACTTAGCCTTATCTGGGTTATGCTGGCTTAAACCACATCTGAGCCAAGTGCACCACATCAGTGTTGTCCACTGTACACGGTGGCCTCAGAGTACCCGAACACAGGGTATGATACATAAACATCATCCCCCTCCTCATCCTCAGCCTCCTAAGCTAACGCAGGTTGCTTCAGTTATTTTCTTAAATTAAGGGCTTTGAAACTAGAAAAAAAGTTTGGAAATGATGGAGAAGGTCAAAAATTAAGTTTTGACTATGCTGAGTTGTCTGTTAGAGCTCCACGTGGAGGTTTCTAGTAAGCAGCTGGACATCTGAGTCTGGAGTTGAGGGCAGAGGTCTGGGCTGGAAGGTCCAGGCTACTGGGTAGAGATCTAGGGAATAGGGATGGTTTTTAAAGTTCTGAAACTGGAAGAGATTACCAAGCAAGAGAGTATAGATGGAAATGAGAGAAGATCTAAGGACTGAGTCCTGAGGTTTCCTAGATGCTGGGAGAAATAAGAGCCATCCCAGGAAGCTGAGAAGAGAAGCTAGCGGATTAGGACGAAAAGCAGGAGGAAATGGAACCCCAGAAAGTGAGTGAGGAGAGGCTTTCAGAAAGGGGAGAGGGACCACTCTGTCATGTGCTGTCCCTTGGTCCAGAACTGAGGCCCGAACACCGACCATTGGCTATAACAATGTGGAGGTTATTGGTGGCTTTGACAGGAGTAGCTTCCTAGGAATGGAGATGACATTGTGTCACCGCCATGTGTCTGCCTCTGCCTCCTCAAACCACAGAAGGTCAGCAGATGAGCCGAGCACCCAAATATCAGCCCCTGGCCCTGTAAGGATTTCACGTAATGATCTAGGGCCTTGCTGCTCTCAAGTGTGATCTGCGGTCTTAGCAGCTAGGCAGCCCCAGGACTTTGTTAGAAATACAGGATCCGGGCTCCTGATTCAGAACCCGCGTTTTTAA